GCCGGGCCGATTAGCCTGCGATCGGGCAATATCGCGCGCGCGCTCGCGCTTTGCGCGAGGGTGGTTGCGAGTACTCCAACTTAACGAGTATAATACGTGTCAAAGTTCTCTCAAAGCGGCCGCACCTGCAGCTCGGTATACGAGCACGAGCCTGAACTAGGCGGCAACTTGCCGCTAACTTGCCGGCAAAGTGCGTGATCCGGAGCTGGCGCTAAACTATGAGAAGGAAACGAGCTTACCCGTTTACTTACTTACATACCCCGGGAATGCCGTATATAGTCGTTCCGCCGACCATTTTTGCATTTGCATTCCGAAATTTCGGCTCTTGACTACTCTTGTTTCTTGATGTGAAATGTAATCGACATCAGCTTGATTATACTAGTATACATATATTAATATATGAATAATATATACAAATAAAAAACGTATATCATGTAAATTAATATAAAATATTATATACATAAAATTATATAACTATAAATATACGCAAGTATATGCACATGTATGTTATACACACATTTCTATATACATGTATTACAAAAACAATTTATCTTGTGTGCTTGAAATGTTAGTGGCGCTATTTCTGCCGTGCGCCATTATTTTTTGAAAATTCACGCCACTCGCGCACGCGGCGTACGTAAGGAGTGTAATAGGGAATAAACGATTCTCGAGTCATGTGATGAGACTACTTGCGCTGAAAGACTGCACTTAACCCACTCTTCCCCTCCTACATTAACCATCTCTTAACTTCTTACTCCTCATTGCTTTCTTCAAAGACGCTCCGTGAAATGCGTCGAATTGCAGGGAGTAGACGGCCGCCCCGGAGTGCATGAAATTGCCGCGCGTATATGCCGGCGTATATGCTGCGTTTAGAAAACTTAAAGTGCCTCTCACGGGAGTCGATATTAAAAGTAAAGAATCTACTAGAAGTATTAAAACTCGGAAATTTCTCAATAAAAGCGATTATGGGTATTTGAAATATCGACTTTTAATATTTCGTATTTCCTCGAATCCTCGATTTCCTCAGTGTGTTTCTTCAAAGAATTTTCCGATTAAGATCGTCGCAGAATGCAGGTATATTTTCAAAATGCTAAGTCCCTCTTGAAATGAGAAAGCTTTTAAGGTTTAAAGCTCTCCCGTGAAATGCATTTATTCCAGCTATCTCTCTTCCTATAAATGGTAAATATTAAATCACCGATAGTTATGAGGCTACATTCGATAAAATTGAAAGGCCACTTCGAATCGACGATAAAAATGTCGAAATACAAATTTATAACCTCGCAAAAAAAAAAATAATTACAGCGCAATATTTTTAAAGAGGCATTTTAAATCTTGAAAACTTTACTCTCAAAGTTTTTCTCTAAGCGATGCTTCTGCTCCAAGTTGCACCATTTCCAAGTCAGCTGTGCAAAATTGACAAAAGTCTTCGACTTTGAGATCACGCGCAGAGGAAAGAAGAAATTATTTTCAACTTTGTCTTTAAAAACTTTAAGTTTTCTTCTTAACATTTCTTCTTTGCCGCACCGATTTGAATACTCTTTTATTTGGTTAACGAGTGTATATTTAAAATATCAATTATTTATAACTTGCGACTATAAATTCCGATTATTTAAAGATTTTTAATTTTACAGTAATATATCATGTTACGCGTGTATTATCCCCGATCAATAATTTCTACGAAAACAATAACAAGCACAAGGCTTCGAGAACCACTCGAATTTCTCGTAATTCTACAAGCTCGGTAGATCTGAAATTTTCCACATTCTCAAAGCTTTCCGAATCGCGTTGCGTGTAATATGTAAGCTATTCCGAAATCCCGCGATTCGCTGGCCAACGATTTTCCACGGAGCGGACGAGCGAAGGGATGAAATTACGCGCGCAAACAAGCACAAACAATCGTTTTATCCCACAGATTTCAAGTCTTGATCTTGGCGGGGAGGAGAGAAGGGGTGGAGGGTGAGAGGGAGGGGAGAGCGGTCTAAATGAATTTCTCCGGAAACGCGTTGAATCGATTAAACACGATGCGGGCGGTCGGTTGATTGAAATATCGAGTAAAAGCCGAGGGCCGATTCCCGCACCTGAGGCCGCCCGCGCCGCCGCCGCCGGGCGTCGCGTTGCGGAGAGCGCCCCGTTTACAAAGAAGAATCGTTACGAGAAAGTGTTAAACTATCGCTTAATAGCCGGCGGGTTCTGGCGCGCTTCCGGCCGCCGTTTACATAACGGCCGTATTTACGTGCAACGTGGCCCGATAAAAACAAAAATGGGGGAAGGGGGGCACGCGCATTCTACCGGTACTTTTACGACAGCGCGGATTAATAATGCGGAGCCGCAGCATGGTGAAATTTCAACTTTTAGTGCTTCGCTCTTTAAGCACTCTAGTTCGCGCGTTTTATGCCGCTGAAATGAGAATTGATGACGGGAAGCTGTGATGATATTAACTTTCACATCTCCCAATGTTTTTGAGGAAGAGTTAGGGGAGAGGGAAAAGAACAAGCTTTATCTCGTAAATATCCAAAATACAGCGTTTGTGATTTGTTCGAAAGCAAACGGATAATTTTTTAATGTCTTGATGTCTTCGCGCAAAAATTGTCACGTCTGATCACTACTCTAATATTACTACTGAGAAATAACTAAATACAGAATTTCAAAGAAAATATTCAAAGTTCATTGTTCGATTTATTCGAAATGAGGCAGGTAACTTGGTACTGTCTCGACAGTCTTTACGAAAATTGTCATATCTGATTAGTCTGATTATTCCTGTCGAGAAATACAAACAATTAAAATTCTCACTGTCACTTACCACTGTCTTCATTATAATTCATGAACAGCGATTTGTTCCAATTTGTTAAATATCCCAGTTTTGTGTTTCACAAAAAAACGAGACCACACGTGATATTTGCAGGAGCAACCAGAAAAATCTCTCTTTTGCCTTTTCAATGTAAAAATGTGAGGAAACGGAAAGTTATCACTTTTCTTTCTTTATCATTATTTTACGGCGCCTATCTCGTATTCGCGTTTCGAGCCGCCTCTCGTAGCGTTTCCGGTTGCAAGCGGGAAGCGAGAAGAAAAGCGAGAAAGAGAGAGGATCGTGGCGGGTGGTTGCAAGGGGGGAGGGAGGGGGACCGCGGAGAGCGATATTGATTTTGCAGCAACAAACCGGCGGCGGACGCATTTCATAGCCTACCAGACGTAGCCAGACGCACGTTCGACGTGGCTACCGGCGAGCTTACCGTTAAAAAGCTCGCGGAACCTTCGCCGGGAGTCTCGGCGAGAGATTTGATAAGCCACGCCCTGCAACCGCCGACCTTATCACCTACAAGGTTAGGCTTTATCGAAGTTTACAGGTCGGCGAATACGCGCTGGAGTCTTCCGAACGATTGCGAGTAATGCCGTCTCCCGCGCAAGATCATTCCTCTCTCCCTCCTCCTCTCTCTCTCTCTTTCTCTCCGCGTGTTCTTGGATATTTTTAAAAAGAGAAGAGACAAAGAGATGAAGAGAATAAGAGAAGAAGAAAAGAAGAAAAGAAGAAAAAAGAAGAAAAAAGAAGAAAAAGAAGAGAAAAAAGAAGAAGAGAAGAAATAAATGTTTTCGAGGAAAATCCCGAAATCTTCATCTTTCCATTCCTTTATTTCTGTCATTTATGACTTTTGTTTATATATCCTGCGTGAGAAGGGACGGTATCGCAATTTTTCGAATTATTTTGAATAAAAGCGAGCGCGGGAAAGGTTGAGAAAAAATTCCGCGCGAAAGCCCGCTCGCGAAATGAAAGTTGATTCTTTCGCCCGTCGCTGTTTTGGATTGCCGGGAAAGCTTTTTCGACCGCATTGTCGGTGCAGCCGGCGACGTGACGTTGTAAAATGCATGTCAGCGCGGGCTTTATTAACGATCGCGCGCGCGCACGCGTGACGCGCGTGTATCGCACGGCGATACGCGCCATTGTCTCCCTGATACGCGCGATGTAATACAAATCGCGGCATAATGGAAGAATAGCGGCGCAGAAGTCGATGCCGACCGCTTTATCGCTTTATTATAAACGCCCAGACAAAGGGGATTTATGTGAAGACCGTCCTGTCACCGGCGGGAATTTCCATCCAAATGACGCGGAGCTATGTCAGCGCGACGTTTCATAATTTTTTTTTCATGCATATATATATATATGTTCTTCAAAGAGATATATTTTTTCATATACGTTAACTTCAAAGTGCACATTTCAGCGAATAAAATTTTGTATGCAATAACGTGGATGGTTTTTTCGACATTTTCCTTCTCTAACAATAATTCCGCTTGGTATCTGAAGAGAGAAAATGATTTCACATGAGCTTCTACATATATTAGTTTCGTCAGAAGTCTTATAACTTTTGAGTTGAATCGGACTTAATAGAAGCGATACGCGAATGAATGAAATATTACGAGCGACAATCGATGTCATCAAAGTTGTCCGCGGATTTCGACAAGGAGAGATGATTACAGTCGATCAGAGGAGATCGCGTGATCAAAGGCCGGCTGGTAAGCGAAACACGTTCCTTCTGTCAACAAAGACGCTGGTTCACTTTGGCGAAGTCCTTGTCGATATCCTTGCGTGGACAACGTGATGACACAAACACCGTCTTCGTCCGCGCAAGGCAATCGATCGTCGAGATCCCGTCTCGATCGCATTAGAGCCGCCGATAACGATGCGTTTGTTTGAACACACAAAGATGGTGGGTAATATAAGCAGATACCATACACTGGAATTTTCCAATTCTCCTCGCGGCGTAAAATTCGAGCGCAATTAATCGCGCGCGTCGCTTTTAAGGCTAAAAAGCGACGCCCATCGGAAAATTATCAAGCTCTCTTAAATCGATTATCAGCTAAAAAGCACTTAGCGGCGGCCATTTCCACGCTAATAGACAGATACGCTTCAGCGCCGGCGAAGTGGAAGTGAAAAAAGAAGCTAATTATCAACAACTCATTTTGTCCCGACAACTTTCCATAATAATATGAAGATAAATAAAAAGCTGAAAGTCGTTTTCTATTTTCTAAACTCCGAATGTATCATATATTATTATTATAAAAAGAGATTGCTTTTCGAAACACATCTGATTACAAAAAATTAATAATGTCTTTTAAATTTAACTGTGCCTATATCGAAACGTATAAACCGAAATTGTAAGTTTATATAAAACAACGTAATCGTAAATTTATGTGATGGAAAGAAGATTTCTCTTCAAGCGAAGATTCGTATAATTTTACGAATTCCAAAAGGCTCAAAACATTTTATCATCCTCGGATTCGCGGCGACCCTTCGCGCATCTTGGCGCTAATAAATCTTCGCTCGCGTGATGAGCCCGGCGGACTCCATTAAAATAAAACTACCGGGTGTGTGTGCGAGAGAGAGAAAGAGAGAGAGAGAAAATCATGGGCTCACTCGCCCGCGATGCGATGAGTCGTAAACGCGCGCGGCGGACCGGAAACGTTGGACCGGCGCCAAGAATCGAAGCTGCGCGCGTGTCTCGACAGATTTGTTGATGCTTCCTGATGTTGCCGACAAAAGGATCGCGAGCGAGAGCCGAAAAATGGTGGATCGACGAGGTCCTCGTCGATTTATTTCCCGTCAATACGCCGCTCCGTTGTTTATCATCCTATCCTCCTCGAGGATGCAACCCGTGCAAACTCGACCGGATGTGGCGATCTATTCTCCGTCGCGGGTAGGATGCGAAATGACTGCAAGAACATGAAGAATAGTTGCAATAAATAAATAAATAAGCAAGCAGAGCGCGGGTACGTAATCTTGCAAAATGCAAGACTGCAGTGTATACGGATGCAAGACAAATGTCTTGGAGATGCAATTACTGCAGAAAATATTTAAGGTGTTTTTTTATCCTTTTTTCCATCTTTTTCTTTCCTCTCGAATATGTAATATCAGTTTGTGTTGATTTTTGCAAATTTTAATATTTTTCTATATCTTAACAATTAAATTAATTTCTAGATCATGCAGGAAATAACAAGTTTTAAAGTGTTTTTAAATAAATAAGCAAAAGTACTAATAAACGTTCGTAATCAGATAAGGATGAAGATGGAAGAACAGCTCAGGCTTACCGAAAGAAGATAAAATGACAATTTGCGGAAAGTGAAACTTGTTGTGCGATAAAAACGAGGGCGTGTGTAGCTTTTTTAATTCCCCGCGTCTTTATCTAAATCCATCAAAAATGAATCAATGTCGGATTAACCGAACCGGAGACACCGCCGGAAGCATAGACGTAATCCCTTTTTATTCCTATCCTCAATCACGCCGTATCAAGCTATCCGCCCTCCCGCGCCCTCCGACTGCCCCCCCCCCTCCTTTCCGTAATTTGCCGACTCGGCAATCTTTCTCTGATCACGGTATAGTTTGAATTTACTGCCTGATCCTGGGAGACGCCGACTTTTACGACGCAAGTAAAGGCGTGTCGCAATGCTCGACATCCCTCGACGAGTTTCCGAGCACTATTTTCGATATTTCTACATTTTTTATGTACGTCGTAAAACTCGAAAAATTCTCTGACGGACTCGAAGGTAACTTCCTCGCCGAAAAAAATTTAGCTCAAATTGCAATTACGGAAATATTGGCCGTGGGAAATTAGGGGTTTGCGGCAAGAAAACTTCCCAAGTGAGCAAGTGGAGTAGTTTCGAGTGGCTTTTACTTCTCATGAGTTTTAATTTTACGAAGTTTCGCAAATTCGAAAAAAATTCAGACTTTGAAAACTTGCACATCAACGTATAGCTTAACGTATATTTAAAATCATTAATAAACGCTTTAAATAAGAAACTTTATTCTTAAACTTTACCACATATTTCTCAAGAAATTAATTTACTAAAATATAACTCTATTTTTTAAATGATGATATTTAAATAACTAAATAACGATTAATTAGAGAGGTATTCTATTTTTTGGTCGAGATTTCAGCGAAAGTCATTCGGTGTATCAACGCTTGGTGAAACTGAAACATATAAGATCGTTGCCAGGGAACGTCCTGATGGGAAAGCGTATCAGGGCGGAAATGTTGAAAAAGGGGTGCGCAGCAGCCAATTTTTGTGAGTGCATCTTGAAATAATCATAGCTTCGGTAAGTGGAGTTCCTCGTATCTACCATATTCCGCGCATACAGGCCAATTCAAAAGAAAGCTCCTGTTTCGCGCCGCACAAAGGTCCAGATATTCCGAAGCTATTCATTATACGACTTTATATCGTCGGAACTTTTTTTAATAACACTTTGGCGAAGAACTGCGATTTTTGTAGACATCGTCGATGGAGTTATATTGCTGCACAACAGCACTCTGCCATATCTATATTAGATTTACTGCGATATTATACGTTATGTACAATTTTATATCGCATGAAAGTAAACATATAAACGTTCTAACAATCTCGTAAAGTAATATTGAATACGATAGAGAGTATTACACGCACGAGCAGAAAACATGGGCTGCGAACAGAAACATTGGTAACGGAGTTGCGTGAGTTTCCGGGCCGTTCGAACCGGTGCGGCGATTCCTTTATCATGCGGCTTTTTCATTAGAATTACAAACAATTGCCTCGAGAATGCTTTTTAATCCCGGCCAATAAACCAATCGGGCTCGTTCCCGTAGCGGCGTCTCCCAGCCCGGCTGAAGAAGCTCTCACCCTCTTTTTCATCCCTCTCGCCAGAGTTCGACTCTCTTTTGTACTTTCTCTTTCTATTTCTTTTTCCTCATCTTTCCTCTCTTTCCCCTCTTTTTTCCTCTTTCTCTCTCTCTTTCTGCTTTTCTTTTACTCTCCCGAGACCGCCGATAGCGATGCTCGGCTCTCTCGTCACTTTTTAAAACAATCGGCGCCCGTAAACAACGTCATTCCCAGCCTTTTGTTTCTGCCGCCATCTTGCAGCGAGCTGCAGTTAACATGCTGGTTGTTACTACACGGACAATTATTTTTATTGCTCGCAGTCCGACGTGTTTCCGGCGGCGACGGCGGTTTTAGACATTCATTCATCCTGAGGCAACGGGGTATAATCCGCAACGTTCGTTGCACCTCTATTCGGCTTTCAACAATAAATGTTTATTTCACTTTTCTTTACAACTCTGTATGTACAATCACACATACTTACATTCTAAGCGCGTTAACGATTTTTTTAAGTCATTTTATATTTTACAACCTTAACTGTTATTGCGTTTTATTACATGCATAATTGTAATGTATTTTTTGATATTATTGTTATTTTATTACGTTCTCGTCACGTAAAAATAAGAATTTAATTTTAAATAAATTTTTGTTCCTAAACAAGAACAAATGTATCTTGCGATATTTAATATAAATATAAAATATTAACGAATGTATGTAATTAAAAAGTAACAGATTTGCAAATATTATTTATAATGACAATTTCAAATATTATTAAACAAATAGGGAGTATAAACACAGAAATAAATATTGTAGAATTTATAAATTTTGTATATTATATAAACATATACACATATCAATTTACTTTTTACGTTTGTGGTTACGGAAATTTCTGTTAATACTCTCTATAAGCTCTCTTTAGTTGCATCCACTTAATTAATATGTTCTCATCATCTTCTTTTTCACTTGAAGCCATTGATTTTCTCTCATTTCTTGCTCACGTATGGCCGATTCGAGAAATTGTTATTACCATCGCTATTGTTGTTACTTGGAAACGACGAGAGATTTAGCTGGCGGTCATTCCGCGTGAAAGCTTTAAAGCCTTTGAAAGAGTAGACGAAAGCTCTTAGCATGTCGGAGTCGGTTAGCGGCGAGCGCTAAATGGAACTCGACGATTTAAGAGCGGTATGCAATCAGGTGAAACGCGATTATTTGTCGCAATATTCACGACATTTTCAGCGTTAGAAGGCTTCAGTAAACATGTTGGAAAAAACAAAAAGTTGCACAAAATATAAATCAAAATTTAATTTAAATCTGTATAATTCTAAATAAAAGTTTAATAGAATTTATATATATATTCGTGTGTGTGTGTGTGTGTGTGTGTGTGTGTGTGAGTGTGTCATTTCAATTAATTTCTTATATAAGAAATTAAAATATTTATGTAAGAAATATCATATATAATGTATATGCATCAGGCATATGCGCATCTATATAAAAAAATACGTAGATATTTTTTACTATTTTTTTCTATGATATATATTTTTAATATTTAAAAAATGACACTGAATTAAATATATTAAAGGATTAAATAATTTCCTTTAATTTAATGTAACCCGAGGCACTTAATCAGACGCTAATTCTCAGTTCACGCCGTTGTCTTACTCGCCGAGTTTAGACAAACGCCGTCATCCCGCGATCATCCCCTTAAGGGGGCTTGTTCCGGGCGCCGGAACGCCGCTCGCCTTTTAATTTTCACCACGGCAAAAATCTCGAAATCCCGTCGCGATCCCGGGGCGCGAGGGACTCCCGAGGATTAATGGTGCAGGGCTGGCTGGGTGGGCAAGGGTGTTGAACAGCGACGATTAAGCGTCGTCGCATAAGAATGCATCCCGAGCGCATAATAATCCCGGGCGATGCCTCATCGTGGCAATAAATGTCTCGCCGAGCGACGCCCGGTGTCATCGCCGCTGAAGGGAAAAGGTGGATAAATTGAAATTATCTTCCGCGCGTACCCCTCCGAAAGAGGGGGGGAGGGCGAGCTGCAACCCACAACTAAACCCACCATCGCTCCGTCGTCGGTGTTAAGTCATCGTAAACAACGAGTGACGGCTCTGCGAGAGAAAAGCCGGTTGACTTATTACGTCCATCAGAGAACGCGTTCCGGATGACCGGACAATTTCGCGGAGTCGTATAATCTCATTCGTTCAACCGGTAAATATACCAGCGATATACGGCACACGCTATAGCGAGCGAATTTATACCTGTGGCGATGTTCGAGGCCGAGAAGAGAGACGCTTCGTCGAAACGCATCGCGGCGAGGTTTACCGCAAAACTTGATCATTTATCGCTATTTTCATACGCGAGCTGAAGTTCAACCGTGAACGGCGGTTTCTTGCGCGAGTGTACACGCGCCACGCGCCTTTCATTAGCGGGAGTTGCCAGCCGGAAGGCAGAAGCGCGGTTAAAGTTGGGAGGCTGATTGGAGTACCTCGGCGGTTTACCGCTCTTCCCCGTTCTTTCCCTCCCCCACCCACGTTTATCTCCGCTTCCTCGTCTTTTCTCCCTTCTCCCGCCCATTCTCTCTTCGATCGTTTTCCAACTTTTCGAAAAGTGGCCGCGCTCATTAAGCACCAAAACAAACAATCCCAATGCAATTCAATGATCTTGTTTATTCCCACGAAAGTTACTCTCGCCATATTTGGGCGAAAGAAGCTATTGTTCGATTAGCGTTTCGAATTGCTTTTATCTTCTTGCCGATCGTCTCCCAACTTTTCAGACTCGAGGAATCTCCTTCGCCATTCGGGAATTCGACTTTGCAATTATTTCTGCGGCACGCTTCTCTCTCGGCAGAGAGAGGGGCTTTGTTCGATTTCGCAATTTCAGAATTCACATTTTCGAACCGCGGCTCGTTTCATTTTCAACAAATTAGAAAATAAATTTCATAATTCTATTTTAAAGCAATTTAATTTGACGGACGTAAGGCTTAAAGGGTTAATCAGCGGGGAAAATTAACGGGTGATTTTTTTGCAATAAAAAGATCCGGACGAAAGTTGGCGAGCTCGAAGGAGCCTCATCGATTTTACAATCTACCCCCCTCGCGCAGACTATTATCCCCCTTTCTCTCTTCTTTCTTCTGATAACCCGACGTCTCTCCGCTCCTTTTCTTTTTCTTAATGTAGGTACGTCGCTGATTCGCAGTTAATGAAGCGAGAATGAACGTCGGCAGAGGAGAAAAAAAGACGCGTTTTGCAGAAATGGGGAACGTGCGTCCCTAGGAATTTTTTCGCCCCGGCCGTCGAGATAGAAATTTTTTTTGCCGCTCGCGCAAGCGAAAATCTTGCGCGTAAATGGCCCGACCAGGTTGAAATTATGTAGGTACCGAGAAGCGTGCCCGCGCCGCACTTTTCCCGCTGCTGCAGTTGCGATTCTTCCTCACATTAGTGTTTCGGAGGAGGGGGAGGGGGCTATCGAGCGCAGAATATTGGACGGTTCATTTCCGGAGTATAATATTAATTTAGATAAAAATCTCATTAAAGCGTGTACGAAATGTGAATTAATCATTGTTAAATTAGTAAACAGCTGTTAATTAATTAGCTAAAAAAAAATAATATTGAAAACAGATATAAGTATAAGATAATCTGACATTTTTCGATAAAAATCATACTTTTTATCAAAGCCGATTACATCAATACAGAACGTCATCGGCGTCATCGCTTTACTATTCATTTATGTAGTAGATGTGATGCGTGTATTTCAGAACTTCTTTAATTTTTAAGAAGATGTGTGTGTGAGATGCGTTTTTTTTTAAGTCTGATACCTCCGGAAAAAAGCTAATATAATGAATCACTGAAATCTCGCGTTTCTGATAGTAATTTTAATGACAGTTTTTCTGTATAAATTGATTTAAATTTAAATAAACGCAATATTTTCATATTTGATGTTAAATATACATGGTTGATACTAAATACATATGTATTAATACTAGAACTACCAAGGGGATCAAAATGATTTGTTTGACATTTTAAAAAATAATGATTTATTTATTTTTAAAACATCACAGTTTCTCTGAAATTTTTTCTGATTTTTATTAAAATATACAGATAATTAATTTTATAAACTTGTTTTCTCTTTTTCTTATTTTGATTCCTTCGGTAGAAACAGCTATAAGTTAATCTTCGGTAGTTCTAGTGTTAATATATTTAGTGAACAAAATATGGTAAACAATAATTGTATTAATATAAAATATACATTTTTAAAAAAAGATTTATACATCATATTTATATATTTTTTTACAATACAAAATTAAATTCTAAATTTTATTTCTTCTTATTTTTCTTTTACAACTTGTGTGTATATTTGATGTCGTGATTATTATTTTTCTAAAGCAAGAGCAGCAACCCTCCAAGCTATTGATGGAGGGCTTCTATTGAAATTAATTATTCCGTATAGTAGAATAAACTCCGATGCTCTATCGACTCGTCTGCTTTAATTTCTACTCTTGTTACAGCCTTTTCATTACCGCCGCCTTGTAGTTACGTGAGGTACAGCAGCCTGGAGGATGTGAGGCCGAAGGAGTTGGGCTTCCCTCAATTAGAATTCACGCCCACGGTCGTCTCAAAAATACGGTAAGGCTGCTCTGCTTGCCCCGTTCATTCCTATATAATCACAATCACGCCATTGTTAACTCGCTATTAAAAGGGAAGCGAACGCGCGCCCGCCCTTGCGAATTGTCAAGAGACGGCTTCTTAAAGGGGTCCGAATTTAATTATGCCGGGTCGGTAAGCCCCCTCTCCCCCTTTCCCGCTCTCTCCTTTCCCTGTCGGAGAGGGAACGGAGTGCCTTCCGCGCAGCGAGCGAATCTTCTAATTAGCGATGCGGTGGCTGCCTTTTGCACGCACCGGGGAAAATTTGCGTCGCAAACACGATAGGGTGGGTCCGGGGTCCGGCGTAAAGGGCGAACTTGTTTCAGGTGCGACGCGCGGGCGGAGGGCGTCGTCCTGTTTTGCTTACAACGCAAACTAATTACGCTCGGTAATCGAACGCGCGATCGAATCAGTCAATCAGGAAATTCCACGTCTGAAATCCGCAACGTCGCGGGACAGAGCGATGGCACATGGGAACGCGAGTCAAAATTGACTTGTTAATTATAGAGTGGGATTTTTTTGCGAAACGAAAAGAAACAAAGGGAAAGAGATATTTCCAAATTTCCAGAAAAATAAAAAAATATCTACAGATTGCTGAACTAATTCTGGTCAAAATCTTTCTGTGGAATAATTTAAAGTAGCTTGAGAGTTGCATCATTACACTATTGATTTAATCAGACTCATCGATTATTCCTTTTACATAATTTAACATTTATCATTTACCAGTCATTATTAATTATTTTTTATTATATCCGGAAGAATGAGGGGCGAAGCTAAATAAAATTGGGAACATCTGAAAAGTCCGCCGTGAATATTTCGTTGTCAATTTGTTAGTAAAAGTCGTACAGCTGCAAATAACAATTTATTAATAAAAGATCGATTTTTATACACGCTGCAATGCGCGTGTCGCGCGAGTATAAAACACGTTACGTATTTTAATTAGACTGACGACATATGTGGAGCGATGTTCGGCGTTCGATATTAATTAACGACTAATTATAAAGCAATATTTGCGACCGAAATCATACGACGTATTCTCGTCAGTGATATCTCTTAGTACGGAGATGATGAACTTAAATATCCTATATATGCATACCGTGAGCGATGCAAGGATATTTCACATTACTATTATTATTATATTATGCATCGTTATTATTATCACAACCACTTCTGACAGAATCTGCGAGCGGCTGGTATGATTTGCAAATATTTGCCGTTGACTTCGAATATCGATTTTGAAATACTGATTACACGGGTGAAAGAAGAACCAGCGGGCGGGAACGGAGGTGGGGGGAATGGAGAAATGGAACGATGGGTAAAATTGATTCGTGGGCAAACAGGCGGTGGACGCAGCGAGCTAGAAAAATTGTATTGACTGGCCAAATAATTCGCCGCGCATGAACCTCCGTTGCCCGACATTATTTAAACAAGAAATGTTTGTCTGCGGTGCCGGCCGCAAGAATGCACATTTAATTGAAGGGCCCAGGCAGTCGCACTATTTCAGCGGCGAATTTTGGAGATTCTCGAGGTATCCCGTGGATCCGGTGAAATCCTCAGGATTCTCAGGATACACACACACACACACACCCACACACCCACCTACGGATTCTCAAAGATTAGCTATAACTCACAGAGATTCCGGGATGTCCTCTGAGATCTCTCGAGATACGTTATAGATATGACGATCACGTTTGAATGCGCGCGAAGCCAAGAGTCGAATTAACTTCCTCGTCAGATCGAACGTCAGTCGGCGCTCTTGAGCTTTTTGCTTAAAAGAACGCGACGTTTTACGTAATATGCAAGATACGAAGTTCGAAGAGTTATTCAAATTTAAAGAGTCTGCTGTCACTTATACGCTGTTTATTATACGTTTTAATAAGCTGCTCTTCTTTAAAAGTTGAGAGCGCAAATTTAATCTCGAAACATGTGCTCGCAACGTCATGCATTTTAGATCTGATGATTAAAGACTCTTGGAAACACATAAATATATAGATAAAAAAGATTTAAATACGTATAAAGATAAAGATAAGTTTTAAAGAATCCAGATTATTTATTAGATGAAATAAGTAATATTAATCAGTAACAAAATATGCTATACATACATTTAGTTACAAATAATAGCCGGTATCCACAATTAACGTTTATGCGAGAAGAATAAATTAATTATTATTAATCACTCCACTCTCTATTTTTCTGATTACCAGTTTGACTGAGCGTCAGTCTAGATCAGATTCAATTTATGTTTAATAGATCGCTGTTTAATAAGGCTCCCAATTTCGCTCCGAAACGACATTTCAGATCTGAGGTAAAGCCGCAAAACACGAAGGCACCTTAGTCGATCGTCTCGATATTCCGCCGTCGTAGCGACGAGTATTACAGAGCAGAGGCGCGGCTGCGGTATCGCATCGTGCACACTCATGCATCAGGGTACGTCCTGATACAAAGGAACGTGTCCTGTATGACGTGCCAAGGCTCCGACTGATCTCTCTCTATCTCTCTCCCTCTCTCTCCTCCCCCTTCCACCCTCCCCCATCACTCTCTCTGATTCTGGCTTTCTCTTTCGCGCCTAATATCTGTCTTCTCTCCTATACATCGCGTATAGAGCAACAATAATTTAGATATTGAGACCGCCGATAACGTTGCGGCCGGGACGGCCACTGATGTAGCTTGATTAACGAAAATTCTCCTTACTCCACAACGGGCACGTCTTCCGTGTGTATGTACGAGCATTCGCCCGGCCGATGTTTACGCGGGCACCTCTGGACGCCGCGGGCGGAATTAACCGGCGCGATGCGGCGTAATTGAAGCACCACCGGGGGAAATGGTACCTCCCGCCTCGTGGAGGATAATTATCGCAGAGAAAGGGAAAAGGTTCGGTATAGCGCGTCTTGGTTTACCTCTAATATCTCTGTAGATAATTTTCACGGAACAATCGGTAAATATCAGAAAGTGTCAGATTTATTTAACATTAATTAACGTTTTGCTATCATTGTTAGGTTCAACTTAATATACCCTGTTACTGTTATCTTTGGCTTACTATAAAAGATACATGTGAAACATTTCCGGCGTTATTCTATGACACTTACCCAGTATCTTTTAAAGAAGATCTTAAGCGGCTTACAAGTTCATCTGATGTCCCTCCATTAAATTTTTTCTTCAGAAAAGCTTGAAAAGTAAAATTATGCCACACTGGATTCTATACAAGATCAACATCAAAAGATGGTGAATGAGCAATGTCGCCGGAAATATTTCAAAATATCCAATATTGAAAAAAGTCTTTATTATTGTATAAATGTAGAGAGACATCCGCTCAAATTAAAAAGAAACAATTGTAAAGAGAATTGAAGGATCTTTAAAATTATGTATCACTTAACTCCTATTGCCGTTTCCGATTTTTGAAAGAGTAGCTACTCTGATCAAAAGAATGAAGCAGAACACAGTTGAATTTATCACAATTATATTTCTCTTAAAAACAAAATTGATGTGATTCAAAAATTTTTGTTGACTTGTCCAGTATATAGAGATAAATTCATTTTAATCACAAAGCGAAAAAAAGGCGTGGTATTCTACAGATATCTTCTCATATTTTTAGCAATCTTTTGGAAAAAGGTTGAATTCCGATATCTCAATAAACCAGAGAATCCCGTGTAGGTCTTGTATTTTAAATAGCTTCACAGATTTTTCAGAAACGCTCTTAGAAAACTTAGATATCCTGAAAAAAGTCTAAGAGGCTTATGAAGAATTCAAATCATTTTCGATCCCAGAAAGAGGACTCCCAAGAAACGATCGGATCTTCTCGGTTTCTGGAACAGCTGGGAATTTCTGTATTCTCGGAGCGAATCCCGCGGGAAATATTGTCGGGCGTCTCCGAAGATTTTTATAGAGCGGACGACGAGCGGAGAATGTCGAACGAGTAACGACTATTTCTCGGCGGAAAATAATCGCGCGGTCTCGCCCGGGGTCTCGCGAGTTCGCCGTGCGCCAAGCAAACGTGCCGGGAGTTACCGAGTCGAGAGGATTCCGCCATTTTAAACGACAATTCGCATTAGCACGGGCTACAGAGCGACTGATTGCCACGGACTTCTCATCCGCTCTTTGATAGTTCCGCGCGCCAAGTTTTGGCCGCGAAGCTCCGTCAAAGCCACCGGAACTCAGCGTAAACTCATCCATTCCGGCCGCAAAACTTCCCCGGGAACTGTCGCTGTCATCGTGCCAAATCGTCGTCGTGCCGGGGAACTGCGGACGCGGACGCGGACACGGAACGTCGGGAACCGGGAATCGACAGGCCGACTGCCAGGAGATTAGCTTAAAAGTTTAACTCTATAAGCCTTGTGTGGAACGGCGATAATGATCATAAATCTATGAAGATTATGTGCATCTTTGTTTCCAAACCAAGTTAAATGGCGAGAACGTCTTACAAGTTCTGCCTTGAGTTAGTGAATTCTCCGAAAGGGAGAAAGATTCATTCAAATTTTATAAACCAATTTTAGAAACTGACTTATAAGTTATGATAAATAATTTTGGGCAAATTCATGTAGAAACAAATCATATCTACATTTTTATATTACTATGATGCATTACAAAGAATAGGAGTTTTTCTTCAAATTTTCTCGGATGCAATGACACTCCCTTTGTTTAATAACAAAGGCGACAATAAAAAAAATAAGAAAAGATAGAAATTCCAGCTGAGCGCTGTTCCCGGAAACGTATAATTCTAATTCCTCAAGTAGCAATTCATTCCATCCCCGAAGGAACGATAAAGGGCGAAGGTCGGACGAAGGCCAGACATTTAAATTAAGTGGCTTCCTTCGAAATTAGATCAGGGAAAATGTTCACCGTGAGTGTTTTCCGTCGCCATGACTTGACCAGAATATTTCGATCGAATAAGAGAGTGTAATTGGACCATATACGATTTTGAGAAAGAAATCCAGAGAAAAGAGATTTTTAACAAAAGTTGAATGATTTGTATGCGTATGTGAGTA